CTGTGAACTTTTTCATGCAACACTAAACCCATGACATTATCGAAATTCAACTACATATTTCTTGAAGAGTTACTCACCACCATGACTAATCAATTTTAGTCACAGTATTGAAATTGTTCAAATATTCAACCACCGAACTGTCTTCTGTCATATTTATATTAGATAATTTATTCACCAGAATAATCTTATTATGAACAAAAAGTTTTTCGTACATCTTTATCAGCATTGTGATACACCAAAATAATATATTATTTTAAGTATATATTTTATGCTTCTTTTTTGGTGATATTGCACTTTAAAAAAGAGTATTTTCATTTTTTTGTTACAGGTATATTAATTTTAGGCATTTGAAGCAAAAGTAGCAAAAAAGACAAAATTTGGTGCCAAAGCCCATAACAGAGCGATCTTCAGCAAACTGGCGCATCAGATTGGCGCCAAGTGCTCCATTTGACATAGAGTTGGCGCATCATGCACCAGATTTGGCGCTAGATGTGCCAAAGACTACTTTTTGCTGATTAAGGCGGTTCAAGACGAATTTTACGCAAATTTTCAAAGGGACACTTATTCTAAATATCTCTTGGAGTAACTCAATGCATCTAGACACTTTGGATGCCAAAGCCCATAACAGAGCGATCTTCAGCAAACTGGCGCATCAGATTGGCGCCAAGTGCTCCATTTGACATAGAGTTGGCGCATCATGCACCAGATTTGGCGCTAGATGTGCCAAAGACTACTTTTTGCTGATTAAGGCGGTTCAAGACGAATTTTACGCAAATTTTCAAAGGGACACTTATTCTAAATATCTCTTGGAGTAACTCAATGCATCTAGACACTTTGGAAGCTTATTTTATGAAGAGATATATCTCTTGGATCAATAGACATGTCATTTGAATTCAAAAGAGTTGACTTTTGGAGAGAATTTTAGAGAAAATTTTGAATTCTTTTTGGATGGAGACTGCCTTTAATAAAAGAGAGTGAAGTTTAGGGCTGGAGAAGAGAGGAGTTTTTGGGGGCGAGTAGGTGGTGTGTGGCGTGAGTTAAAGAGAGAGAGAGATAGTTAAGGGCTTGAAGATTTTCTTTAAGAATTTTAAGAGGAGAGGGAATGAGAGAGATTTCTTCTTCATTACACTTTTAAGAGAAATTTGAGAGTGCTTGTAAAGGGAGAAAGACTTGGAGAGAATTTCTAGGAGTTTGCTCGAGAGAAATTGTGAGATAAGTTGTGTCTTTTATTTTTTTTGTTTTGTAAACTTGCTTTTTTTAATGAAATTCGTATTTTGTAGTATTTTTCTTATGAATTCTGAGTAGTATTCTTTATTCTTCTTTTTTACTTTAAAATATAGTTTTGTGAATAATTTATTTTGTTTTATATGATTTTAAATGTCAATAATTTGTGATGATTTGAACTCCGATCTTCATTTACTTTTCGATCTGGCCAATTGAAATATTAAAATGTGTTGAGAAACATATATTCCAAAAGGGCTATGATTTCTATAACATGGGGAGAATTACATTTGATTTCATGGGAGAGTATTTCATCCATAGAATTGGGTGCAAATAAATAGGAAAATATATTTGGTTGGATGTAGAATTAAAGATTTTAAGGTGACAGATTAAAATCTTCAATTTGGTCCAGTTGATTGTAAACTGGTGCGAGATTGTTCGCCCTCAAGGGAGAGAGTAGTGAGAGCTCTGGAGTGGGAGCCAGTATCCTCTCAGCCTAACCACGGAATTAGAGACCAAACTCTGGATTAGCCAATATTCTTTATGCACTCGGAAGAGGGTAAAGGAAGAGGGTAAAGAAAGGGTAAAGAATATGATTGCTCATATTTGACACAAAATAATTTTTATATATTTTCAAGTACTATTAATTTTTTCACAAACCATAGACTTATTGTAAAGAGAAATGATGCTTTCTTAAATTTAGAACTTTCCTTCACAACATTCTTAGTTTTAATTTTCATAAATTTACTTTTGAAAGTTTAGTATTTAGTTTAGTTAACTTTGTCTTTCAACTGCATTTTAATTAGCATTCACTTGTTATTTAATATTCAAACTTTGCACCACTTTACTTTTTTTTGTATTTTTAAAATAGTACTTTACATTATAATCTTAAGAACTATTTACAAGCATTTCCAACTTCTCTGTGACATCGATATCTAGGACTTCATTAGAGCTCGTTATTACTTGAGCGATACGTATACTTTGCGTTATTTTTAAAAGGAGATTTGACAGTTTAAAAATTACTAAAAGATAAAATAATTTTCATTGAAGTTATTTTGTTGGGATTAATTTGCATATTTTCTATTGTATTTGTCGTGTGTATTTTGCAATATTAAAAAATATTTGTAAAATTAACACACTAAATCTACCTGCATCATTGTCATGAGATCCATTATTGTTTATCATTAATTTTATTGAATGCAACATAAGAAAAAAGTGATAAATGGATCAAACTTAAGGTCGTTCGATCTGACACTTCTCATTCCTCTATAGTCATCGATTCGGATTTCTTTGTGATACTTGTGGTGACAAATACAATTTTTTATGATGCAACATATCCTCTACTTGCATTCTCCAGAATGCAAAGTTCAATCCATTGAACTCCTCTTCATACCCTGCTTCTTCGGCTATTACTCCCACTTGAATCAAACACCACTCCCGATACCACTTGTTGGGATGGAATGAGCTCTTAGGGTTTTGATTGGTTCACAATTAAAATCATACCGCTGAATAAGATCACACCAATTTGAGAAATTCAAATAAAATAAATTGAATAGAAGCACATCAAACTAATCAAAGAAAGACGCACTGGGATTTACGTGGAAAAATTTGAGAACCAAAAAAAGACCACAGAGCCACACCATAAAAAATTTCACTATGAATGAGAGCAATGTATAGAAATACACACTCAGATCAACTCTCTGCAAACTCAGAAATATACAAAACTTTGTTCTAAACCTTTTTTCTCTATCTCACAAGAAAACCTTCGCTGAAATCCTTCTCATTAACTCCCCCTCTTCACGGAAGCCTTGTTGAGAAACACAATATGCACATTAATCCTCTCGTTGCTCGACTCATGAACTTAAGAACCGAACAATAGAGAATCGTCCTGGCGGCGTAATCACACTGAGAAGAGGCGTAATTATCTTGTGCGCTTTGTTCTGCAAACCTAGAACCGGCAGATCGCTGGCTTAGGTATGCCCAGTTGTTGTGTAGTCACGCCACCCAGCAAGCTATGCCTATTTCAAGCGTGGCTACGCCATGATGTAAACACTTCTGGATGCTTCTTACAGCTGTGTACTCCTGGGTGCTTCAGGCTCCATTTCATAACACAATTCTCATGTGTTGTTTTTCACAAGTGATTGCATCTTTTTCTGCGTATTTTGTTACCACATAATTCTTTCAGCCTTCTCCATGGCTTTTTTATAGTTCGACTTCATTTTTGTGTTTCAAGAAATATATCTATATCATTGTAGTGTAATTGTTATAAATAAAAGGAAATGCCTAACAAGTCCATGCGACCTTATCTGATAAGGCTGCTAAGGGTCTTAGTGAATGAATTATAAAATGTATTAGTTCTATGTTCAGTTGATTGAAACTTCAACCTATTTTCCTTCCCCATAACATTGTGCTTACAAAATTTAAGATTTTCAATCTTATCACACAGAACAGAACTTATTTATCATGCTTCTAAAGCCTTTCTTAGCTTACATGGATCAATCTTCTATGCCACAATTGAGTTGCATCAAATAGTTAATTGTTGCATAACCAAACCTCCAATGACTGTTCTTCCAAACACAGAACACAAACCATTGATCAAAACTTTATTCATAGGAACAAATGATCATTTGTATATCCTCAAAATTTCATTTTTTCTTTTGAATTCATGCCTATATTTATCTAAGATTTTGATTGAAATTAACTTTCTCTTGAGTTCTGGTATGTAGCTAATTTTTTTAATTTTCTTTCTTTGCCATCAACATGATTTTAATCATGCTAATTCCCAAATGCTTGCAAGTCTTGCTATTCCCAAGCATCAACAAACTGCCATTTTCGTCTTGAAAAGATTCAAACCAAGATTGGTTTAGACACACATAGAATGAGCATTTTGAATCAAGAATCTTATCAGTACATGAATCTGATTTAGCAACATAATCACCTTACCACTATTATAACCTTCCTCAACAATTATAATTTCACCTAATCCTTTTCACTCTTAACGCATCTTCTTCTTCCTCTCCACCCATTTTGCTAAGATGCCCTTTCTTATGAAAAATGAAACGCTTTTTTCTGAATTTAAACTGGCATTGTGAATCATTTCTGCTATTAGATTCTCGTTATGTTGTCCGTCATCTCTCTATCATCAATATTTTCATCTTTTTAGTCTCTATTCATCTACTTCGCCTTTGAATTCGATGATTTTAGCCATTGAAGATACTCTTCCCATAAAACATTGCATCCATAAAATGTTCGTATTTTTAGGGCAAAGAACTCAAAAGAATTATTGCATGATCCCCATCTTTGATCTCTCCTTCATTGGATTATTTATGACTTTATTAAAGTCATTCAAATTATTTTTATGCTGTTTTGTTTCATCCATTTGTAGGCGTGCATTTGTCTTCTCAGTTATAATATGTAGCAGATGTTTCCAAGTACAGGGCTTAGTAAGGATTAGATCATTTCTAAGCTTCGTAACTCAGTTGAGCTGTGCCTTCTTCTTGAGAATAAAAGCTGAAGAAGCAAAGACTAATGAGTTTATCACTGAGAGCACACTATTGGATGCAATAATTTAATTCTTCACTGTGGCATCTGTACTTCTCTTGCTGACCATGATAATCTACAAGTAAATTATGCCACATAACGATGTTCCTTTTTATTGTCATGCATTATTCATAACACACTAATCAACATATTTACTTGCTCTGATTACTTTGGTTTTCTTGTTGATAAGGTGAATATGCGTCAATAAATGCTTATTTTATTTGAAGCATTTTTTTCAGGTACAGTGAACGTTGTCAAACAGAAATCCAAAACCAAACCGGGTGCTTCTCAAAGAACCACTAGAAGTCGGAGCAAAAATCTGTCTGAAACACAAGTTGAGAAGGAAGCAGAAGAAAAAAAGGAAAAAGAAGTAGAAAAAGAAACAAAAGTTAAGCCAGTTCTTACTCCCCTTGCAGCCAGAGCAGCTTTGGCCTCGCTGGTGCATGAACTGCCTGTGAAACCGTTAGGCTTCTCAGGGGAGCAGGACTTTCTCAAGCGCAAGGATTCACAGCAGAGTGATACCACTGGGACTACTGAACATTCCACCATAGAGGCTACGTCCAATTCTGTTAAATCAAATTTCCATGTACAGAATAAAGTATTATTATGTCCAAATCCATCTAAAAGGACTACTAATAACACTAATATACAAGTCAAGAAATCGCCAGACCGATGGAGAACTGAGGGGAAGCTCAAACCCCATGGTTCCCAAGAAATGCCTTCTAGAGGGTCTTCTGGTGGCATTGAAGACGAACCTATTGTCCTGCAAAATTCAAGAAGTTCAGTAAATGCTGAGAACTCTACCAGCTCAAGGAGGCTAACCCGTTCAATGCAGAAAGAATCAGAGGTTTCTTCCCTCCACTTAAAGCCAAAAAGATCAGCACATTCTGCTGTTTCTAAAGAAGTTTCGGTTTCAAATGATGTTGACAAAGCACCAATTTCAAAATCTCCTAGTTTGGATCCCCAAGATATACTTGCTTCTTCTGATGGTGTGGAGGGTGGAGCTTTAACTAAGAAATTGTCCAGTGCCACAAATGGGGTAGGCTGCACAAAATCTACAAAACAGAAAAAGAAGAGCAATTCCAACAATAATATATCACCGGGAAACAATGCACCAACTGCAGATACAGGAAATAAGGCCAAAGAACTTGTCACACCTGATAATATTGAAATAAAGAAAAAGAGATTAATTTTTGATCGTGTTGATTCGACATCTGAAACAGATTCAATTGCTGAGAGAAATGAACCAACAACGAAGAGGATGACAAGATCATCCTTTAAAGCTCGGGTAAGTGTTTGCTGTCATCTTAACCTTACAGTTTTTATTCTGTAATGCTAAAAATTTGGTCTCTTTGTAGGTGCTAGCATGAAAGAGGAGGAAAGCATCCCAGCACTAAAAATTCTCGTGTTTCTTCGCAGGAGTTTATAAACCTGCCATTGCAATCATCACCAAGGCTTTTGTGTCCTCCTAAGGCTCTCTTGCAGGCTAGAAGCTGACCACATTTCGGAGCCAATAGATGTTGGGAGGGTTATTATGCTTACAGTGGACTTTATTAAGTAAGTATATTACGTCTATTTTGATGTGGTTCTGAGGAGATTAGTTATGCTATCAAATATTCCTAAGATGCTTTTGGATTTTCTATCCTGGTTAATACTTTAGAGATGAGAATCAACATTCCCGCCGTTGTGCTTTCTGAATCAGTTTAATTAGGTTTCCTATCGCGATTGATCCATTCAACTTTTGAATGATTGGTGAGCTAACTTTGTCAATTTGCTAATTTCCTTTTGTCTACATGCGTTTACCCTTGATTACTGATTCCTATTCATCTTTTTATTCTTTTATTTTTCAAATAAATTTATTCATCAAACTAGTCCATAAAGTGTTATTTTATGATTAGGAAAGCTTTGGAATCGGCATGAACTTCATTCAATTTGTTGTTTGATCATAAATCTGCAATAAATTTCTTTTGATTTTCTATCATTCTTTTCGTTTGCTGTAATCCAATTCCTCTCATAAAAAAAAGGCCATGATCGATCTGGAGGGAGGTCGAGAGTCCTGAAGGAGATTGTTAAGGCAGATGAAAGCCTTGGGTATAGTTCATCAAATAGTTGAAAATTTATTGGTGTCAAAATGTTAAATGTTTGGCCATTTTTGATTTGTCAGAACCAATTTATTTTTGAAATATTTGATGTGTGACTAAACTTGAGGCTTTCACATTCCTTACATAATCTATCTCAAAAAACAGTCCTCCATCATAATACGATGAGTATTCGGTACTCCCTTGCCAACTCATACCTATCAGCAACTGGACTCTATCATCGTGTTTCTTTCTGACTTGTGCTTATAGCTCTATATGTAATAGCTACCTTTGACACCTTAGTACGTAGTCGCCTTTAAGATTGGGTTGAGCTCTGAGAATTTTAACGCCCCGGACTCTCGGATTAGTGTTTTTTGAGAGAGCTTTAATAGTCATATTTTTAAAAGGTAGATTGTGTTGTAGATAAGACATTACCCAGAGATTTTATCCTTATTTTACGAGTACATTTTGATATGGGGTTTGAGGTTTCCAATATTTGCAAGCCCTAATGATTAATTATCCCTCCCGATAACGGGATATCATTTTTGATTAAGACTAGTCATTTATAATTTAATATTGAACATTTAGTAGTAAAAAAATATATATTTTAAATTGTAAAATCTTTCACTTGGAGCTTAAAGCAGATGGTGAGAGAAATGACGACGAGCACGATCAAGATCCCATGGTTTCGTCGTCCTGGGTCGCTGTGATCATTGATCTACTTAGTCAAAATAAGTAGTCAAACCAACCTGACTAAAAGACCTTGTAAGTAACTATGAGTTGCATCGTCAAAGGGACCCTTATAGATTGGGGTGGATGCTTGTTTAAGGGGACAAATATAAGTCAATCTTAGCTTACAGAAAAATTTGTGTCAATCAATTGTATTCCTATAGTTTATAACATGAAGGGTTAAAAGCAGCCGGGAAACATTCTGGTTGTGGCTCTGATTGTAATATAATTGTGTCATTTGATGACAATCATCCGATCAGAGGATTCTAGTCATAACTGTTATTTTTGGAGCATATAGGTCAAACTACGCGGACAGAGGACTCATTTAACATTTTTATTAACTTCAAATTACTTTGAGTATTAATATAATGATACACTCGATGTGACATTAGTTCTTTTGTGAGCTTAAAAGTTTGTCACTCTCAATACACTATTGCAGAGAGTGGATGAAGTTTACTTTAAATTTTAGGTGCTTTAGTTTTTGACTTGAGTGTTTGATTCAAAACTTAGTTTGAATATTGGTTTGCAACTAACTTCTCCGGTTGAAATTTTCAGACAACACAACTATCATTGGGGATTTGACATTTAATATTTTGATATTTGAAATTTATTTTAGTTTTCAGTTTTTATATCTTTAGCCTATTAGTTTTGTCGACTTTAGTCCTAATAAGGAGAAGGACCAGACTAGATGACTTGAACTTGTAAATTTATTTGAACATTATTGAAAATTTTCTATACTCGTCAATTTCAATCCTTAAAAGAGGAGAATTTGACTCTGGTGGGACTTATAACTCTTCCCTTTAGATAGGGAGACCCGATTGATTGCTTTTTCAAAATATGAATTACTTGAGTGTAAGTTTCGCCTTAACCCGTGCAACATTTTCAAAGCAGTTGAGTTTAGGCATTAATCAATTTGGTAGAGCTTAGGCAGACATTTAATTTTATTCTTGAATAATAAAAAAGACTTGGTATATATTTTTCAAAACATTCACATGATAAACTTTATGCTTCTTAATGCATTTAAATAACTTGAAAGCACTCTCATAAGTATACGAGAAGATTTTCATGCACTTTGGATGGATTTTAGAGTATTAAATCAAAATTAGACATTAACTCAAAGTACATAATTTACATTCAAAACTTTTAAAAGTTTAAGTGAACACTAGAACTTTAAAATGCATATAAGGTTTCATTTTATGCTTTAAAAGTGTTGTCTTCTATTCGCCAGTAGACATATTGCTAATTCAATGGTGTGATTTTCAATTTTCAATTCCTCAGTTTTGAATTATTTTAGAACCTTGGGAGAAAAAGTTTGAAAGCCCAAAATTTAAAATATTTTTAAGTCTTTAGGAGCCTAAGTTCGAAAGCTCAAAATTTTAAACATTTCAAAAGTCCAGTCTTAAATATTTTTGAAACTTTAAGAGCCTAAATTTTTAAAATCTAAATATAAGATATTTTTAAACCATAGTAGTCTAAACTTTAAAAATCAAATATCTAAATTATTTGAAAATTTAGATGATCCATGTTTTATATTGTTTTATAAGTTAAAAAATTTCAAGATTTTAAGTTTTTTACATGCCCAAATCATTCAAATTTTTGGTAGCTTTCCAGCATTAACTTTTGTTACGGGGTGTCGGGAAAATGTTTGTCTTCTTAACTATCTTAAAAGACTTGCTGGTCAGTGTCGTCACTCAATGTGTTCAGGGAACGAAAACAAATTATTTAGCACTGTCTTAAAAGACACAATAGGGCATCAATGTATCTACGAAAAGGATCAAATTACAAGCCATCATTTCCTTAAGCGGTTCTTCACTTTCTCTGAACAGTACTTAATTCTCAATAACACGTACTCGCTTTTCTGAGGACGTGTATTTAAATCTCTTAATTTTATAAAAAAAATTTAAACAAGTCCGTAATTTCTTTGAACAATATTTAATCCCCAAGGACGAGTACTTATGGTTCCTCCAATGAATATTTTGAAAATTTTCCAACTGCCTCATTTTTTTATACCATTTGCAGGAAAAATCGGCAATGAAACAACGAAAGGCAAACACAAAATATTTTTCTAATTTTTTTGTCTATTTTATTCAAATGGACAACAAGGGGTTGTTTGGTGGCTTGGATAGGAACAAAAAGAGGGTTGGGTTCGGTTTAGGTTGGGTAGCGGGTTGACGACTTGGGCTTGGGCTTGGGCTTGGGTTAGAATAAGAAGGATTGCAAGGGATCGGGGAGAACATGTGGTGGGTCTGCATCTTTTGTGTGTGAAACGACAAGGAGTGGGAGGTTTGAACAGGGAAAGGGGTTGCAGCTTCGTGCAAGCTAGGGCAGAGAGGAGCACATGGGTTTCAGTGTAGGGAGGTGATCGATAAGACCCAGCCAAGGATGGAGTAGGCGTAGAATTTCGACAATTTTTAACTTGAAGGTGATAAGAACCAAATGCGATGAAGTACTGACGAATCACACAAGTATATACGTCGTGTAAGTAATATACAAAACTGAGTTGTGTATATCGATCCTACGTGGAACAAGTTAAATCCCAAAATGAAAGAGGTTCTTGTATATTGAAATTGAACCTAGCTTGAATGTTTGAAATTTGATTTTATGTAAAAGTGACTATCCTAATTTTGAAAGTATTAAAACCTAGACTAATTAGGTGAGAGAGTTTACGAGTTTTCTAGGGCTAAAGAGCTCTCCCTTGAATTGGTTATGCAAAAATCTAGGTTTAAAATGGTGATTCAAATGAAAAGTGTCAAACAGGAACATACTCTTCTATATCCCTTCCCGACATCTAAGAAACTTTGGCTAGCACACTAGTTTAGTTCCCTAAGTCCAGTCATTAGCCCAAGAGTCCAAATCTTTCTAATACGTTTGCACAAATCTAAAGGCAATCTCCATATTTCCTTAAATTCTTGTGGTTAACTTAATTGTTCCACTAAGAATTCTCTCGAATCTCAAAGTTCATAACGAATTTTAACCATTCACTTGGCCATAATGAATGTAACATAAGATCTCAAGGTTAACAAAATACTCAAACTCAAATTGCAAGGAAATCACAGATAAAATTCCGAACCAAACATTTCTACAAACCAAATCAAGGGATAATGAAACTTATTACTCACAACACATACTTGTAAACAACAAATCCAATATTTTATTGAAAGAAAACATTTGATTTCAAGAGTTTAGCGGATTAAAAAAATTCAGAGTACACAAAACTCAATAACTTATCTTAGTCTTTCTTTGAATACTGGATGATTGCATAAGCTCCTCACAAGACTACGCTGGATCTCACAATCACTCTTGTTACTTGCTCCTTGGATCTTGTCCTCTCCTCTCTGTTTAGAACAAGCTCCAAGGTTTTAGAAGTTTGTGTGAGTGTCTGCTTCTGTCGACAAAAGAAGCATTTAAGCCTTCTCGAATCGACGCCTCTAGACCACCAAAACTGCCCAAACGTGTGAACTAACGTCTAGGCACTGGTATGCGGTGCCTGGGCACGGGTTCCTATTACTTAGGCGCTGGTGATGTAACACCTACTTCTTGCTGATCGAATTGTAAGGGCTTTGCGCTCCTAGGGTCCCGACTGTGGCTCCTTGGCATCCCAGTATGGCACGTAGGTGTTAAGTTTGCAGTGTATATGCGCTACTATCACAACACCTATTTTCTTTCTTCTCTGTTTTTCAGATGAAAACACTAAGATGGAACCCTTCTTGGGCGCCTAGGCACTACTGCTTATTTTGGCAAATTTCTAGGGTTCTCCAACTCTGATGAATCATGTTTTTCGAATCCTACAAAACACATCACAAATTCCTTCCAATAAACGTAAAATTAACATAGAAACGAACGAAATAAAACACATAAACAAGTACATTTCCTGTGCACATCAAAATCCTCGAAACATTAACATTACTTGTCCTCGAGTATTTTCAAAATTTAGAACTTATATATTAAAAAATATATAGTAGTAGGTAGTG